AAAAACTAAAACAAAAACAAAAAATAAAAATCTATATAAATTTATAGTCCCCCCTTTAAACGTTCTCTTTTCTTAGTTAAATATCTGAACAATAGATGGCGCTGTAAGAAGTTTTGGACCTCACATTTTTAAAATCGGTGTGATACGTGCTTTCCTATCTTTCATATATAGTCTTTGCCTTTGCCCAACTCTGTGCATCTCAACTTAGCCCAACCAAACCTCGTATCAACCTATCCCAGTTTAAACTGACTTAACATGACTTACCCAGTCTAGTCTCGCCCAACCTACCCTATATTAAATCTTGTTCATCTAAACCGAGCCCAAACTAACTTTTCCCCAGCCTATCCTAACCTAGCCTAGTCTCTCCTATTCCAACTTAACCTAGCCTATCCTAAGCTAATCTAACCGTATCTGGCTCGTTCCTAACCTTGCCTAACCCAACCCAACCCAACCCAAAAAAAAGAACCAAGGATACACAAGAGTCAGAACTCCTGGACTTACAAATGACATAGGTAGACAGCCCCAAACACCTGTCTACTTTGAAAGCTGAGCACAGCCATAGACAGCGCATCAACCTCATCAACTGCATTGAAATTCCCCATTGCAATGCATTCCCTGCTCTCCCCCTCCCCCTCATAATTCCAGAGCAGCACAAACGGAGAGGAAATAAAAGAGTGGGGGTTGAGCTATGCGGGAAGAGATGCAGTATGTGGTATGTGGTAAGAATGTGATTAACGGAGGTAGAAATGCGATGGCTCCGGGGCTAGGTACCAGGGGAGAGAGGGAGAGAGGGAGAGGGGGCGAGGGTGGATGGGGGGGGGTCTCCAGAATCATTTATGAAGAGCGGTATTAACACACTCGGGTTACAGTGCCACACCACGAGACAGACGAGTCGATAAGAGGGAGAAGGGTGGGAGGAAGAATAAATTGGGGGGAGGGGGGCAAATGATAACGACACATAAAAGAAAAAAGACTAAGTTAAGCAGATATAGATAAATAGCACGAGAGAGAGACAAAGAAATTGATGGAGACATTTAGACAAAAGGACAGATATATAAGTAGATAAATAAATAGTCAGAGAGAGAGAGAGAGAGAGAGAGAGAGAGAGAGAGAGAGAGAGAGAGAGAGAGAGAGAGAGAGAGAGAGAGAGAGAGAGAGAGAGAGAGAGAGAGAGAGACGAAGGGGAGGGTGAAAGAAAAACACGATGTTAGTGTGCGGGTGGGGGGGGGGGGGATCAGTCAGAGAAAACGAGAAAGTTACGGAATAAGATAACCTCTCCCCTCCTTAACTATAGAAGACAAAAGACAAGAAAACAATGACTACACCATAATGCCACACTCGACAAGTTCAACCTTCTTTTTCATAGGGAATAGAGAAAACAACAACAAAAAACAAACTATTCCTTTAAATAACTCGCTACATCCCCTCCAAACCCCTTACCGCCCCCCAACCCCATAGCCCCCGCCATCCTCTCAGCCAAACAGAAACCCAATTACTTATATGGTAAGCCTAGCGGTGGCCGACCTCAAAGAGAGTGTTTTAGGCCTACGCGCCTCGTCCCGCTACCACCACCTTGACGCCCGGCCGCCCGCCCGTCCCGCGCCTCCCTCACCAGCACCACCGAACGTCTCTGGACCTCTGCCAGCCTCGCCTCGCTCACTCACAGCACGGCCTTCTATCGCTCGCCTATCTATCGCTTCAATGTACATCGACAGCTTTCCCGACGTCCCTCGCCTCTGTACGCATACCGGCGGGCAAATCCGATAACGAGGTTTTTGTTTGTTCTAATCACCCCCCTTCCCCTGACTTCAAACAGGTGTACTGCGGGGAGTAAAAGCTTGCGTTACCTATTGCATGTGAAGGTAGAGAACCTCTCGTCTCTCTATTCTGAATATTACGTCACATAGTATTAGATAACTGCAATGTCCGCCCAATTACAACCTGGCTGTCAAAATCCAAGATGCGGCTGCTTATTACGTGGGTTATTAGCATTTTTATACTGATAACGCTCATTACAAGGGACCCCTGCAGCTGAAAGTCTTCCTGAATCACACATCGCATTCGTTCTGAAAATCCTTTACATTCGATTACGAACACGGAGAACAGATACAGCCGACATGGGTAGAGTAGGCAGATATATTGAATGATGGATGGCGAGGGAGAAAATAAGAGGGAGAGAGAGAGAGAGAGCAGAGAGGAGGGCGAGTGAGTTGGCGAGTAGAAGGTGGGAGGAGGGGGAGAGAGGAGGGGAGCGGGGAAGAGCCGAAGCGAGCTAGGAAAAAAACTGTTGAGCAGGCGGGCAAGAAATGGACGGGTGGAGAGGAATAAAAAAAAAGGAAAGAGAAGAGACAAAGAGAATAAGAGGACGAACGCAAGTCAGTCGAACCGAAGAGTGAAAATAAATCAGGCAGAGTGGAAAAAAGGTCTCGCAGCCATAAATCTCTCGGAGCCATCACTCAGCGGCCCATCAACCAAGCACCGGAGCCATAAACATAACAAA